AGGTGAACGCGAAGCCCAGGAATGCGTCCTGCGCGATCTGCGCATGGGTCGCCTCTTCAAGATACATCGTGCTTGCTCCGTCGTCAGCAGTGTCGTCCAATAGGCTCAACGTTGGCGCAACGGGGGTGGTGCCCTCGGCAATGCTGTTGCTTGCACTCGACGCAGACATAGAGCAAGGGGCGGAGGGCAGATGTGCAGTGCAGGAGTGAGGCGAAGGGGCAGAACTAGATGCACACCGGGTGCTCCGACGTTGGGCGGTCAGCGGGAGGTGGTGCAAGCGCGTAGAGGGCGTGATCACAGGGAGGCAGTGCAATCACGGCCAAGGCAGCCCGCAGATCAGCGCTTGGCGCCATCCATCAGCGCTTGCTCTATCCCTGGCGTCTATTCTCTATCCCTAGCCCTGATCCAGTCGACTTTTGGCCCTGTGTATTAACCCTCAGTACACTATACCCAACTTCTACTTAACCCTCTCAACAGTACTCTCCCTTGCCCTTCCTCATCTTCCCTTAAATCCCTCAAAAACTCGCCCACTCTCCACCATAATCCCATAGCTTAGTGCCTTACACACCCATAGTTTATCCTTTACACACCCTTATAGCGGCCTTTTAATGGCACTGCCGTTATAAGGGGGGCACACTCACTCATACAGACACTGGTGCACACTCACCCATATACTGGCATTTTAATGGCACTGCCATTATAAGGGTGCAGTCACCCATACACATGCTTGTGTGCACCCACTCATATAGTGGCATTTTAATGGCACTGCCGTTATAAGGGCGCACTCACCATGCACTTGGGTGCACTCACTCATATAGTGGCATTTTAATGGCACTGCCATTATAAGGGTGGGTCCATCACTCAGAGTTCAATACCCTTACTTCCAACGGAAGTAAGCTCATTGTCAGCCAACCAGGGCAGATGAAATCACGAAACAACTTGCACATTATAGCCCTGATTGAGGGCTATCCAGACGCGCTTTGAAGTGACTTTACTTCCAGGGTGGTTGCGGAGATATGGGCCCAACACTGCTCAGCCACCCAGCTTGTTGTTTGTACTGGAAGTAAGCTCATTGTGAGCCAACCAGGCAAGCTAAAATCACGAAACAACTTGCATATTGTATCCATTATCAGGGGCTATCCAGTCGCGCTTTGAAGTGAGCTTACTTCCAGGGTGGTTGTGGAGATAGGCACACTTCACTCTGGGGCAGTGGCAGTGGTCAGAGCGAATTTTGGTACATTGTGCACAGCCACAATTGTACCCATTCCAGATAGCCCTGATCGAGGGCTCCAAGAATATATCATAATATCAGCTTACTTCCAGGGTAGATGCCCAGAAAAGGCTTACTTCCATGCTGCATACCCTTACTTCCACTGGAAGTAAGCTCATTGTGGCTGAACCAGAGCAGATATAATCATGAGATAAACTGGGTATTGTAGCCCTGAATGAGGGCTATAAAAACGCGCTTTAAAGCTAGTTTACTTCCAGGGTGGTTGTGGAGATATGCACCCATCACTGCTGCCTGACTTGCATGCCCTGCCAGCAAAGACTGGCTCATATCTCAGCATCCAGGCCAGCAATTAATATTCTGTAAATTGCGTGTTGTAGACGTCGCCCAGGGCTATTAGAATCCACTTTGAAGTGAGTTTACTTCCATACTTGCTGCGGAGATATGGCCCAGTCAGCCCAGCCCACAGGGGAGAGCCCATGTTTGGGGTGGGCGCACAGCCACAATCGTACCCATTCTAGATAGCCCTGATCGAGGGCTTCAAGAATATATCATAATATGACCTTACTTCCAGGGTTCCTGTGGAGAAAAAGCTTACTTCCATGTCCGATACGCTTACTTCCGACGGAAGTAAGCTCACCGTCGGCCCGGACGCACAGCCACCGGCACGTAACTACCACCATCGTGTAGCCAAGAAGCGGGGCTACCATAAAACCTTTGGAAGTAAGGGTATATCCCTAACGGTTGCCGAGATACGACCTTACTTCCGCCTTACTTCCACCTTACTTCCGCCCTTCTGAGCTCAAAAGGGGGTTTTATAGAGATAGGTCAAATTGTGATGCCATGAATGGATTGGCATATCACATGAGTTTGAAGACCATGGCCAGAACCACATGACTGTTATGTAGGGTCAGGGTTGGCAGGGGGAGCCCTCAAATGCTTAGATAATCACCCTCCATCAAAATATGATGTCATTGATCTATCTAGGGTCAGGGTTGAGTGGGGGAGCCCCCAATTGATTATATAAGCCTCCCTGGCAGAGTACTACACAATGTAGTAAGCTCATATTGAGAGAACCAGACAGGATAAATTCATGATTCAAGGTGCGTTGTGTAGCCCTCAATCAGGGCTATAGGATGGTGCCAAAAGACGCATTTACTACATGGTGTTTGGGCGAGATACAAGCATTTTATGCATGTGCCTCTCAGAGTTTACTACAAAATGTAGTAAGCTGATATTGAGACAACCACAGCAGGTAAAATCATGAAACAGGATGTGTTGCGTAGCTCATGTATAGGGCTATCAGGCCATGAAAAGAAGCGAGTTTACTATATGGGTTTTGGGCGAGATATGGACCCTGCACTGGTTTTTCACCAAAAGCTTACTACATTATGTAGTAAGCAATTATTCAGGCATCCAGGTAAGCTAAAATCACAGCATTACCTGCACTGTGTAGCCCTGATCCAGAGCTATTAGACGACACCAAGAAGTATATTTATTGCATGTATTTTGGGCAGGATATGGACCCCACACTTACTGGCTGCCCAAAGCTGACTATCGTTTGTAATCAGTGATTATCACAATAACCAGCCCAGATAAATTCAAGCTGTGAATGACGCTGTGTAGCCCTGATGGAGGGCTATAAGATAGTGTCAAAATATGTGCCCGCATCCAGTGTTGTTGCTAAGATATGAGCCCGCATCCATGGCTCCCTCAGATGGATGCGGGGTGAATGCGGGGGCATTGCGAGGAAACTAGCACAGCCATTGACACGACACTATTACCATTGCATAGTCCTTGATCAGGGCTACCAGAAAATGGCAAAATATGTGCCCGCATCCAGTGTTGTGGCCGAGATATGAGCCCGCATCCGTGGCTCCCTTAGATGAATGTGGGGTGGATGC